GCAAGTTCGTTCAGAGCTGATGCAGAGATAGTTTTTGAGCAAAGATAAATAGCCTCCCAGTTCAACAGATTTGAATCCCTTGCATTAGTTCATGTGGTCATAAATACGTCGAAGGTAAACGAGTACAGGGTATCTAATGTGATCCAATTCAGATTCAAAGCTGTGGGACGAAATGCCTTTAAATGTCGTTTGTGCCATCTGTGACGCTGAACACGTTCATTAAGCTCGTGATCTTGGCCTCATCCTGGATTCAGCGCTGACCTTCCGTTTACGTTACAATCATATCACGTTCATACAGAAAAAAAGATCTGAATTTTAACCAACGCGTAAAAACTTTCCTCATTAAATATTGAGCTATTACTGGCATAAACAATAAAATTGATTACAAATTTTCATGCAACGTTGCGATATTACGCTTAAATTTACTAGCGTTTATAACATATGTGATATAGTAACACTTGCAACATCTTGCATGAAAAATTAAGTAAAATCCAGTTGTAAATAAGTTATATATTAATTGCTTTTAAAACATCCTATTTTAGACTCGTTGTATTGTTGTTTGTGAAGTATTCAACCTTTCTGGCAAGCACTTGTTATCTTGAAGTTATAATTCGATATTGCATGTCTCAATTACCAGTTTATAACACATTTATAACTGATTGTTTTCGATGAAAGCTTGCTAGCCTTATATACAACATGTTTTCATATATCATTATTAGAAACATGAATACATCTGAGATATAACTTATTGATAATATGTTATTAATAAGTTATATTTCAGTTGTACTCATGTTTCCAAAAATGACATATGAAAACATGTTGTATATAAGGCTAGCAAGTGTTCATCAAAAACTATCAGTTATAAATGTGTTATAAATAGGCAATTGAGAGTTGTCATACCTAATTATAACTTCAATATACGATTCAAGTAATGTTCTTGTTGTTCGTGTTATAAACATGTTTTGATAACAATTATGAAATTTCTCAATGCATACTACAAACTGCACTACAATATGGCTGACCAATAAAGCAATGTATAGAATGAAGAAAACATTTAATTTGCACTTTCAACATCACATGTACGTTTTGTAAAAGAGAAAAGCAAGATAATTTTAAAAGAAAGTTGATATTCGTTTTGTTTTGTTTTTTTGCAAAGTTGGGGAATTTTATCCAGGGTATTTTATGCAATTCAATTTATTATATTAAGCTTTTTTCTAAGAGCCAATGAGTTTTTTAGAAGTAGAATGTATAGATTTACCATAAATTTGCAACCGCATAAATGTTTGCAGTACAGAATCTCAGTTAAGGCAGTTTATTCGCACGATAAAATTCCTCCGAAGAATAAGTTGTGTAAATTGATGATAAACAAATTCCATTCGTAGGAAGGATGAAATTAATTTACAACATGTCCAAAACAGTAGGTTGCGTTATAGTCATAAATAAGTTGCGCAAGTCAAGCATATGTTATATATAGATCCCACCTCTTGCGCTTTTTTCGGTATAAATAAGTTGTATACAAGTGACTAGACGTAAATGTTTACCGCTGATTTTGTCATAAATAAGTTATGTAAACCCGTTTATGACAAATTGTGTTGCTTGGGGATAGACTACTACATGAAATATCGTGTAAATTTACACCAAATCTAGCGTTCATAACATGTGTGATAGATATCACAGAAACTTACATGAACTTTTCATACCGTGCAAGGTGAACCGACAGTTGGGATTCATATTCAAAATATCCAGTGAATTTAAGGATTGCAGCCTTTGTACTACGCTCTGGTACGATCGATTTTGAAATCCAACTCTGTAGTGTGGTGCCCGTACCAATAAACTTGTTCAGCTAGGAGGATTTATTTATTTATTTATTGTTTAGTAAATCATCTGACAATCAGTCTGAATGAATATGTAATATTTACAAATTGAGGCGTTGGCATATCAAAATTGAACGCGGATTCAACCGATGTATGCAAACAAACCATTGCAGATATAGGTTGGTTATAATTAAACAGAGTACGATGAAATCCCGGCTGCATCAGGGACCGCTGACGTAATATCCTACCTGAAGCACGGAAGTCAAGGAGCGATAGAAGATAGGAGCAATCGACGTCACCGTTCAGTAATTTAACGACTAACGTAGATTGTTATAATTTTCGTCTTCGATCAAGCGTTTCAAGACCACGCAGACGGCATCTAGCGGGATACGCTGGAAGGTTAGGGGACACTTGATCCTCCAAGGATTACACACACTTCAACCAAATGTACGAGTGTGGAAAAATAATACTCTGTTTGGGGATACCTGATCCCTCAAATTTTCACACATTCGATCATGGGATGTGTGTAAACATCAATGTTCAAATAAATATCATAAAATGGGGACAATTTTTAGAACATTTAAAAATGTATATATGAAGGCTCGAGAGATTTATATAAAAATTTGAATAGTTCTTGAGTCCTCTCTCGCTTACAACTACATGGCATCAATTGACATATGTCATTCGAGTCTCCTCCATTTTTTAAATGCCTTTTTATACATCTACCACAAAGAACGTAGTTTGGGAAATTCATACAACATCTAGGAACCTTTTAAGTATTTATTAACTATCAAAAAATATTTTTCTCTGTGATATAGCCAAAATCAAAACAAGGGATCAAGTGTGTCCAGTCGCCCGTATTGCTGCTTTCTATCTGTGTTTTGATACTCTGATAATTAGACAACAAAGACATACAATAAACAAAGAACAAGGACAACATATCAATTTTATTTGCATGAAATGTAATCCATATTCTTTGGTGTTAAGCAAACATTAACAGCAGAGATAAACAACAAATCTATGCCATTTTTTTCAGTTAACACTTGGTTTGTTACATTTCAGATGTTGCATTCAATTACATAGCTGCGTATCAACCAGCTGATACAACTGCATTCAAAAAAAAGTTTCTGAGGTTCGTCAAAACATTTGCTGAAATTTGGCACACACAAATTCCTTATCACATCACCAAATCAAGGTTATACCACGAGAGGCAAGCAAGATAAATAGCTTGCTTACTGACATTTACTGAGATAAGGGGGCTACACGGGAAGGGGAGTTATTACAGTTAAAATCATCATGCAAGCACTTGTAAATAAAATGCATTGCTTGTCATACCGTCACCCTTATCGCACATCTCTTAACGTCTGGACTCAGCACGTCAAAGCGGCGATGCTACAGTGAGACGCACACGATTTGTGTTTCCAAATCCTTGACCATAGTGGAGTACAACACCGTAGTACAGTACACGACTCTTTCACGAAAATCAAGACAGGTTTCTCTGCCAAAACTTTCACTGTTTTTTTATTTGATCCGTGATAATGTTGCCTTCATCTTCTATTGACAGCCCAAGTGATAAAATTTGTCGTCTGTCAACTACCCATGGACCTTGTGCTGTCGTGTATTCAATGAAACTTGTGACGCCTATGATTTTAACTATAGAAAGTAAATTTATAGACGAAGGATTCAATAATTAGTTTTGTAAAATATCTGCACAACTTTATGTTGTAGATCTAAATAAATAAATAAATATTCAATATTCAATTTGTACCCGATTTAAAATTTATTTTCACGTGTTTACCTTTCTTGAATTGCTACCATTTGCTATCGCAAAATCTGTTCACTATTGTCATAGCTTCCTCATATTGATTTTTTTCATCATGTGGACAACTAGATCCAAAGATAAAGCGATATAAGAGCAATTTAAGATGCTTCCATAGTAATCCCAATACAAACTTCAAACCATTTGAATGGCCTCTAAACCTTCTTCAGTAATTAATTTTTTTAGAACAGACTCATATTTAAGATATATAAATCAAACTGATGTGTGGCTTACAAATGCTTTTTACATAATGAATTTCCCTACTGGAACACTTGAAAAACACCATAATGGCAACAAATCCTCCAAAACGATCGGAATCAATTCTTAAACATCTAAACGTTCAAGATGACCTAAACAATCTGCAGGTTGATCTAGAAATGTTAAAATGCCTTCAAAGTGCTAATAAAAAAATTCCAAGAAAATGTCAAAGTAGACATTGAATTTTAGTTTTGATACGTCTAACTATTAATCACTTTTTAAGGGACGAAGATTTCTTTGAGTAGTCTGATTAAGTTTAAAATAACTAAAATGCTGTGTATGAATTGAGTTGAAAACTTCATCAGCTTTTCTCGATTTTTCTAGCATAACATTTAGGATCAATTGTTAAACATAATAGGAGACTCACACAATTTTGAATTTACATTAAATTTACATAAACTTTAGAAAACGGATCACCGTACTTTACTTATCATTGTAAGTGTCGATGGACCCTAGAAAAAGGGCAGCCATATGAAGAAAATTCCGTACCTTCACTTGTTGAATTGTACACGTAACACTCTTTCCTACCTTTCCTAGCAGACTCGAGTAATCAAATGTAAACTATTGATTAAACTTCCATACCCATTACGAAAAACTTCCATCATCAACGTCCGGCAACCCAGAGCTGTTGGTGACAACTTACAAACAACTCCTACACTCCTCCCTCTGAACCGCCCATCTTTTCGACCAACTTTATTAGAAATATAAAGCGCCTTACCCGGGAAGACCCTGAAAGGCACCAACCATCATCATAACACAAGAGTTTTCCTGTCACAACGGATCAGCCCAATGATGACGCCAAAGTTTCAGAGAAGCTGTACGCCACGCCGCATCTCGCAACTCCATCCTTCCCGGGACTGTTCCGTTCAATTTCGCATTTGGGCTGTCACGTGAACTTGACTAACCCAGCACCCAGCCATCCAAACAGCCAAGCGAGTGGAGGATAAACTTTTGGCTGCTGGGAAAAATTTCCGCAATAAGCCCTCGTTGCTGATGCTACTGGCAAGGATAAGAGTCAAAACTTAACGACGAAATACGAGAAAAACGAGAGTACAAACTGCAGAGTGAAACGAGCTTAGCAACACGAATAAAAAGGAAAAGATAAATACCGTGTTTGCGATCCGGACGGCGAGAGACGTCGGTTCCATTTTTTTTGTGAGTATTTACATTTTCAACAGTCAGGTCACCAACGTCGACGTGTTTGTCGTTCCGGTTCTCGTCGCGGTCGCCTTTTGTTGGGGCGCAAAGTTTTCCCAGCTCTTGAATATCCGAGCACTCTGTTATTGATCTCACTGACTCACTCACGTGAAGGCAAAGTTTTCACTTTAAACGTCGAATTCGCCAGCACTGTTGCCCACGTCACACTTGCTTCCGATTTTGGGCGTTTTGTGTCACCTGCAATCACGCATTCGAACGATGAGTTCCCATGTAGAAACTCATAAATTTTGCTTCTTTATTCACGCACCTTCCGCAACCATCCACCTGACCGAACACTGTGCTAATCAGCAATGTATTTCGTGCGAAATATTCTTCTAGAGCCCTCGTTATCTTAACATACCAGCACCCGTTTTCCTTGCACCGTCGTTTTCCTCTTCTCTTGGAAAAGCTTATCCTTTTCACTCGTCAATCCGTATGTCAGTCTCTGGAAATCACTTTAAGAGCCCACTCTCAAAGGGCGTTTCGCCTCATTAGGCATCGAGGGATCAATTGCGCCCGTTTCCTTTCAAACAAAAACACGATTCATGGCATCGAACCATGTGAGCTCTGTTTTGCATAGGCCCTCGCTTTGAAGTCGTCTACTGCAGCAACACTCAACTCATCCACCTGCTGAAGGGAGAACATCAATTCACGATGGGACTAAAACTTGCTTGGAATTCAAACCACACCGCAACTGGAGAAGACACCGCGAAAAACACATCCGAACGGGCCGACGGTATCACATTAAACTGATCAATTCGATAGGCGAGCAAGCGAAAGAGCCTCGGTCCGTTTTGGATGAGATACCCAAAAAAATGCGTTCCCTTCCAAAATGAGAGATGGAGAGAATTTTCCACAACGACTCTGTTTTCCGGACAAACTACAACTTGAAACCACTGGTGATTTTCCTCGCACGAGCGTATACAGTTTGCATGCAGCTGAAGAGCCAGGGATTCGTGGTATTTAGATAGAACGGCGCATGTCCACTGGAACTGAACCCGAACGGTTGTCAAACCTTTCGATGGGCTAGAGGACTAAGCCGACTACGGAAGACCATGCAGGAACTCAGTAGCTCAATTCGAGCAAAACATGCATCCAAACAGATGGGAGCTTTCGGGTCGTCGGTCGTGCATGGCAGCGTCGTAACCATAACCTAGATTCAGCTGGTCGATGATGAAGGGGACTGACTGGAAGTTCGGATTTCAGCGTGCTACTAATGCTGTTGAGTGTGGAGGTAGATTGTGTGTAAAACGGCTTTCACTATATATTCTTTCAGAGGGTTGTGCTTTGTGTCATCCCGAAGTTGAATGTTGCAGGTGGAAATGGGATATGATGTGGAAATTTATCACAACCCCCTAGTTGGAGGGGATATTGTTGAGTTAATTCTGGCTATATTTAAATGAAGCGATCTTTCGCCTGCGGTTCAGGAGGAATTTTCAAGCAAGGTCCTAGCGAAAGTTTAATATAAGTGTACTTTACTTACCAGAGTGTTATATAACAGTGTTTTCAACTCCTCATAAGACAACCAGTACCATTTCAATTGTATTAACTTATAAGATGTCATAAAAAGGTGTTTTCAACTTTATTTATAACAAACCTTTGAAAACATCAAAAGAAACTATCAGTCATGGCGTCGTCAAATTAAACGCCAATTTTGAAAGAAAGATTTTTTTCAAGAACTTTGTAAATTCAACTAAGTTTTATTTTATATACAACATGTTTTATAGTGGTATTAAAACATTAAAATGTACGTTTAAATAATATTTACAAATCAAAGCAAATTAAAATATTTTGGCAATTTTTGAAATCATGTTGATGCTTTCTGCATCAGTTATAATACCGTATGCGTGATAATGTTTGCACCATCGTACAAAAAAGGTTCCCGTTTCACCTGTGCATACAATGCCTTGGTTTTTTTTGCATGCATGTAACCTATAGCTCATACCGTAGTAGGCTGTGTATAAAAGAAAATGATTTACTTAGTTTGACTGTTGCACCATGACGAAGTGGCAGCGTGCTCGTGATTTGTCCCACGCGCAAATGTTGCAAAAAGACATTCCAATCGCCGTGGGAGTGTCCCGGTGGACCGTCAAAAGGGTTTTAGACCGAGAAAAGAAAGGAAAACTATCCGTAGAGGTGGCCACAGATCGTCCGAGGTCAGCTCGGGTTCCGAGGGTTATCGCTGCTATGAAAAGGAAGATTCGGGTGAATCCAGTGCGTTCAATAGGGAAAATGGCAAAGGAACAAGGGATTAGTGACTTTACGGCACGGAAGATCGTGAAGAAAGACCGCGGGGCGAAATCGAGGGCACGGAAAAAAAACTCACATGATTACCAACCGCATCTAACGAGTCTAACGATGCAAGAAAATCTTGTACTTACTTAAGCGAAAAAATCCGGTAATCCTGTTCACCGACGAGAGCATGTTTACCGTCAATCCCGTATCAAATTCCAGAACCGACCGAGAACGAAATTTTTGAGATTTTTTTTTTTTATTTTGACATTGCTCAATGGTTATTATCACGCATATGGTACATTTACACAACAAGCCTTTCTTATTCTTTTACCAAAAGATGTTTTATATGTTACTTGGGAAATATATTGATTTGTCAACATAATGGCGCATACAAAAGAAAGAGATTCTAAAAGAACTAAGTCGAAGGTTCCTATACTTCACTGCATTTACCCCCCTATTTCTTATCAACTGTAAAAGAAATGAAGTTGTGAGTGGATGAATCTATTATCTTCTATTATTCAGGACTCAAAATGTCTTATGTTTGATACTCTTTCGACTAATTCCTGGGAATCGGGAAATGCTTTTATTCAGTGAACAAATAGGTCCATTAAAATGTTAATTTTGACGTAGGATTACGTCTGTAATTTCTATATGAGGGTACACTTTTTTTTCTCTGTTCGGGACCTAACACTACTGCGACCAGTAAATTGATCTATTGTAGTATATCCCGTGTCCTTAGTTTAGTGCATGTCGTATTACTCCATCACTATTGAGAAATGATGAAGTATTCGATTTTTTTAGAGTTGTCACTCTTGCATTTATCGCAAGGATCCGACTCTAATTGAAAGGTCCCGCTATTTATACCCTTCGGAGTGTTGAAACACCCTCCAAAGGCGCGCCCCTTTGTCAGTACCCGGGAATTTCAGGAAAGTCCAGAGAAATCCAGTCAACTTGAGGAAACATGTGCAATATTTTGTAAACTTCATAAGTTCAAAGAGCTTCAGGGAGATTTAATGATTTTCAGGAGGGTTCCATTTTCTTCAGGCGAATTGATGGGAAGCACTGAATATATCAGGACTGGTAAGCCCAAGTAACAATTCAGTAACCATTTGGCATCCACTCTGATTTATGATGATTTATATAGGCAATGAACAATCCATTTAGTTTAAAAATAGCATTTCAAAGTGTAAAACATTACTGCTTAGTAATTCAGATTTTCTGCTGTTTTAAAAACCTTTTATAGTCTGACAAGAAAGTCAAAAACTGTCTTGTTACAAAAATAAATTTAAACCAGTTCTCAATCCCTCCTTTTTTTTATATTTTTATCATTTAATTTCATAACCTTTTTTTTTTTTTTTATTACAAAATTAAACAATTTTTACTACTAATTCTTAACTAAGAAAACAAAGGCAAATTTTCCAAAAACCTTCCTGTAAAAGACTCTTTGATTCCATCTTCGGCTTCTAAGCATGTTTTTGAAAACGAAGATTGAAGGGTTCCTATAATGCTTCATATTGTACATAATTCCTTCAGTAGCTAGCCATAGAGCCGCTTTCAGCTCTTTACATTTTTTTTCCTTTATGTGTAGTAAAAATTTCAGTAGCACTTTTGAGTCTAACGTTCAACTGATTCCTGATTATTTCCTCAACCCAATTCCAAATTTCACGAGATAAATTACAATCTTTGATTCTATGTAAATTTGTATCTAGTGCATTACAAACATCGCAATTCTTTTCCGTCTGTCCTCTCTCATTATATTTGGACAACTTTTCTTTATTTGGATAGATGTCATTCAAAACTTCAAAAAACATTGACTTGGCTTCTGAACTGTACACATTTTTGCTAAAGTTTTCCCACACAGTGACCCAATCAAAATCAGGGAATTTTGCCTGAATTTTTGGAATGTGAGGCTGTTTAGCTAACAAGGAACTATATATTAGAGCAATAGTATTCAAGTAAACCATATTTTTATATTGCTTTGCAATATTTATCCAATTCGTAGTGTTACGAGAGAGTTTATGTGTATATTGGCAGTTCAGCAGAAAATGATCGGGATCCTTCAACATGTTATTGGAGTCGAATAAAATTTGCTTGATAAATAATGCTTTCATTTTTTCCTCCAAATTAACCAAGGCTAGACCTCCTTTTCCATAGGCCAGATAAAGTTGATTGCAATCTACTTTAAAAATTTGAGAACCCCAAAGATATCTCATTACATTTTTTTTAATTCCTCTAAATGTCCTTTCTCAGGTGGTAACATCTGTCCAATATACCATAGTTTGCTTAATATAAAAGTATTAATGATCCAAGTTTTTTGAATAAAATTTAAATTTCTAACTCCGATAGATCCCAGACTGCATTTGCAAGTGTTTATCAATCGTTCATAATTTTTTCCAATCATTTCTGTCCAATTATTAGTTATTATCATTCCTAAAAATTTTAACTGTTTAGCTTCTATTATTCGTTGTGGTCCTAATGAAAAATTGTTTATCCGCAAAAATGCTGATTTATTTACATTTAGTTTGATTCCAAATGTTTTACCATATTCATCAGCTATGTGTAATACCTTATCAAATTCAACATCAGATAGAATAATTATTGTTACATCGTCTGCGTATGCTACAATTTTAATGAACTTATCATCAATTAAAATACCTGTTATCGAGTGATAAACTTCTCGTATGAATGGTTCTAAGTACAAAACAAAAAGAATCATTGATAGGGGACAACCTTGTCGCACAGATTTTTCTATTTTAAAGCTATTTGTCAAGTGACCATTGAAAAGTACACTAGAGGAAGCATTTATGTATAAATTTCTAATACAGCTAACAATCTGAGGTGGAAAGTTATAAGCTTCTAAAACTTTCCATAATTTCGCATGATCCGCATTATCAAACGCCTTCTCCATATCCAAATTTAATATTGCTGTTTTAAATCGTTTTGACCCATTTGCTTTTGCTATAACTGTTCTCAACTGATCAAGTGTATCTATACAAGACTTGTTGTTCACACATGCAGTTTGCCCTTCTTCTACAACTTTTCCTAAAAACTGCTGAATGCGGTTGGCAAGAATTTTGGTAAAAACCTTGTAATCACAGTTCAGAAGGCTAATAGGTCTAAAGCCCGAGATGTTTTTAGAACAACCCGATTTTGGTATTAATGTTATGTATCCTTCGCAAAAAGAAGAAGGAGGAATAACATCGCCATGCAATAAATCATTAAACAGTTTAATCATATCATGTTTTAACAGATCAAAGTGCTTGGTATAAAATTCATAATTAATGCCATCTGGCCCTGGTGTCTTTTTCTTGGTGCAACTGAAGACTATGTCCTTGAGCTCTTGTTCGTCAATATCACGTGCAATATTTAATGAATCCTGGTTGCTCAATTTTTCATTGATATATTCAAGTGAACCGTTGTATGCCTGAAGCCGCTGCTTTTTGAAGTTGTTGCAAAAATGATTAAAAATGTACTTTTTCAATTCAT